TATGACTTGACCGAGAGAATAAAATTAATTAGTGTCGAAAATTAAAATTGAAACAAAACTACATACTAATTCGAAAGACAACCTAAATAGAAGAGGAACATGCAATAGATATACATCCTTTGGGGAATGAACATATCACAGAACCACAATCATTAGTGTCGATACAGAAATATTCACCACAAGACTCTTGTGAATTTAATTAAAACACAATCTGAATCATTTTAAGTTGAAAGAAGAAACTAAAGTACAATCGGCACGGCGACAATTTGGCGTCATGGCCACAACAATTGTGGAATGTATGATGGTCCCTATTAACTAGGCAACAGTATTTAAGAATCCATGGCAAAAATGGAAGTGCTTAGATCTTAGGCTCACAGGTTTGGTCTCTCTTTGAGGCAAATGTTTCCGCAACCAACAAAGGGAAGGCTATGGTAGCATCACAATATACCTGCAAGAGTGATCCATCATCAAAAATGTACTCAAAACCAGTGAATAAGAAACTAGCAAGGATGTGAAGAAGAAAGTGGAAGCAGGTTTTAAATCAGACCTTGACGGTTTTAGCAGATCCCCTTATTTTACCCCAAGACACTGCTTCATCAGGGCGCGCACCCGAGTCGCTCCCATCAAATTCTTGTCCAGTGTTTATGAATACAGCATAATCCGCACCGTTACGCATCATGTTGGCATTACATATGTGGTGCTTTGGCAAGCCCCCTCCAAGGATTATCATCCCTGTCTTTCTTGGAGTTGCATGGACAGCTTCGCTGTTCATAGCTCTAATATCTGTTTATAAAGCATTAACTGGTTCAAGAAACATCTCTTATAATCAAGCATTAAACAGTAAACAATGTGATAAGATTCAAACCGATAAACTCCTTCATTCAATTCACCAAAAGACTACCCCCATAGAAGAGAGTTAGATTAACAATAGAATTCTCTTACTCTCGACCCAAATCCCGAAACCAAAACCAGAATCCCCACAACGCAAATTTCCTAGCCAAAACTTTTAAGCCTAAAAATACAATTTTACTGGGAAACACTACTAGGCTGGTTAGTGGTTACAATAATCCTGCACGAGATTTAGCATAAAAATTTTACAACATTGACTCGCTGAGTGACCAAATTACCTTGCACCACATCGATGATGAGGCCAGAGGTACGAAAGGAGTGGAAGTACAGCATATCGCCGAGAGAGCCATCTGTTAACCCCGGGCAGAATACTGGAATATTCATCTACAAACACCATACGAAGCGGAAAATGTCAGTCCTGGAGTTCCTAACAACAGTATGCCTAAAAATACTACAAAGGCTAAATTTTTGTTACCTTGTAAGCCCAATAAAGATATGAACTTTCGTTGTTGATTTCTTTTCCCAACCGTGATAACAGTTTAGAAGGTGTCCACAACACATTCTACAAGGAAAAACCAGAGGAAGAAGGATTCATCACCGAAGGTAAGATGCAAGAGAGAAACAGAAGATTCATCAAACAGGAAAAAACATTCAAATCCCAGGAAAGAACGCGATACAGAATCACAAAAGAATTGAGCAATACCTCTTCTTTCTGTTCTTTCAACATCTCGTCGAAAATGGGAATGATCCAATCCTCAAACTTGCAGTAGTTATCATTTGGAACCAACAAGTTCCCGATTCTATTCAACCCCTTTGAGCGCAGATAAGCTCCAGGTAGAGAGAAATCACCTTTATATGTAGGTGCAAGACATTTGATGAGATCTTCCTCAACACCACCAGTTGTCGTGACAATAACATCAACCTGCATAAGCATTATACATTCAAAGAGCTTCCAACTAAAGTTATTGAAAACTATATAAAGCTAGAAGATTATCATCAATCAAAACGACTAACCATATGATGCTGAACAAGATATCGAATTGTATCTCTAACACCAGATGAAACAAGATTCGAAGTGAAACCCAGAAAGATTTTACACCTCACAGACTCTCTATACGACGGGTTCTTCTCCTCTTCGCTACAGTCTTCAGCTACTACAGTTTCATCAGCCAGTCTCCAATCTAGCTTCAAAACAAATTCAAACCCATGTTAGTGATTCAGACAAAAACGAAGCTCAATTTCATAAGCGAAAAAAATAATTGAAACTTGAATTTCTGGAAAGGGAATAAAACCATTTGATTAACGACATCAATAGCTTCGCCGAGATTCGAGGCTTGAAATCCGGTGGTGAGCATGGATCGAAGAAGCTTTGGGTAGTTTACTCCTTGATTGAAATCGTATCCTTCGATTTTATCACATTTTCCTTCCAACGATTCGGATTCCTTGAAAACTGTGGAGTGAACCGAAGAGAAAACACGATCTTCCATATTGCTGCGAAGAAGGAATAGAACAAATCCCAGTGACTCGTCAGTGATCAATATCGATTTCACTGGATCTGGAAGTGTAAAGGGTTTTGGGTCTTCTAGCGAAACCTCACGAAATTAAAGGAGAAGACGATAAAAGAAGTTAAATCATAAATCTTAATTACTGTATGGGTTCGGTTCGAACCTAAAATCTCGGTTTAAGAAAATTCGAATCAGATTCCACGGTATGGTGCGATTAGAACCGGTTTTGGTATGGTTCGGTCTGGTACGTTGGTTTTTATTCCGATTGTCGTTTTTGGCGGCTCGAAACAGAGGACTGAAATCACACCTCTTATTAAATCTTATACATTCACTTGTGAGATCAATGTCAAGCCTATACTGTGTGATGGATGCATGTACATATCTGTATATGTAAAGAAATATATACTTTGCAGCTTATCTTGTTCTTCTGGGAGAGAAACACTCAAGATTCTCATTATGATCCAGAATTGTGTTGATGATGATAAGATATATTCTAATATTCTTTCTGGTTCATGATATTCTCCAAGTTGATCTGCACAGAATCCATTGGAAACAATAGATGAACAAAGGGACTACTATTACACAAGCCAAAACCAAACAATTCATGTTTTGTAAAGTTACCAGGAGAAGATCTTCGTCTGTACCAAACGATTTCCGGGCATTCTCCAGGCATTTTGACGAGATCCTCTCGTTTATCCTACAAAGAAAATTTGTCTGTGAATTGGCACGTTCCAAGATGATGCATAAGTGTTCTTTCTTTCTTCTGATCTCTCAAGTATTGAAGCAATCAGAGATAACAAGATATTACGTACTTGGAACTGGCTGGATCTCTGATCTCAAACTCATCCCTCACAGCATCATAACCACATATCACGATATAGTGACCTATTAGAAACACCAAGGAAACAAATTTAGCAAATGTAATTTTTACCGAGAAGCAGGGAAATCAAATGAGTGCCTCTCAAACCCAACTTAAGACGAAGGTCAATAGAAAGCTTGATCGCGATTTTGCTTTGTGAGCTTCCAGATTTACTCGAGTTAATTAAAAGAATGGTCGCTTTGTCAAGTATAAGTTTCAGGAGTTCCAATGATTATAATCGACATAAGAAACAGAGTCTAAGGCTCACCGGTGTAGCTGGAATTGCTGTTGTGAAGGCTAGCGACAATAACTTCTTCCAACCAAGACTTGCTGCCAAAAACAGTAAAACATGAGCATTATCCAACTTCATTATCATACTTGACAGTGAGTAAGTTTCGAGAAAACGAAAGATGTTGCACACATCCAAAAATTGTTGGTAAGGGTTCTTCTGACTAGAGGGGATAGATGAAAAAAGAAAAAAAGAACCAACCTTAGCTTATCCTGGTCGACTAATGCAATAGCAATATAGTTCCCCGACAATAGTAAACATGAAATCTCATGGATACTAACTGATCTGCACTGCAAAAACGATGAGGTTGATTGAATTTGATTTCCAAATAATAAACAGATTACAAAAGAGAAGATTTGATGACATTCCGAACAAATGCTAAAAAATGTACTGATTTAATGGGAAGTGTCTATACCAAAAAACAAAGTTGTAGTAACATCATTGTGTAGACGGCCACATATTTCAAGCAACACTAATGGAACGAAAAATACCCAGAAGATTTCTTTAACACAGGAGCAGTTAGAAACATCTGGCCAAACGGGTTTACCTGTATGATAATGCCAGATTCATGTGCTTTTCTGAAGAGCAAATCCACACGCACAAGATCTTCAGGGAGCTGCTCCTGCGTCATTGTTTTCAAAACGAACATCATGAACATTTGCTACTTAGAAGGAACAAATTCGGAAAAGCATCAACATTTTATTAACATGCTTGATGAAGCACAAAGCATTACATGGTGCATGGGAGACTATATGAAACAAGAATTTAGAGGTCTTTGTCATTTGTAGTTTAGATACCTTGTAAAATTCCTCTATGGAGTAATTTGGGTTTGCTCCGAATGTTATTGTATAATAGGAAAATTCCACGCCAAACTTTTGCAGTAAATATGCGAGATCTACAGTCCAAATGCTGAAGAAATGTCAAAAAAGTTGATGATAAGTATCTTATTTAGATAGCATTCCCTGCCAAATGCTTTTCATCTCTAAGAAGCAGACAAGGCTCAGAATATACAATGGAGTTACACTGGTGATGACAGTTTCGTAAGGTATAAACAGTACCTACTTGTGGAGCATATCTCAGCCAAATCCTCAATAGTGCAGTTTGTGATGCCACTTGCTCTGAGAACCATGAGAACACAAGCAAGACCGCAATCCCACGAAGCTAACTGATGTACATGAGGGACCTAACATCAATAAAAAACGACCAGCAATGTGGTAAAGAGAGCGATAAGTTGCAGCAAATATAGACTTCTGAATCTCAATGCCCACTAGATTGAGATCAATGACAGAATAAAATCGAAAGGGAAAAGTCGGTCTCACTTCCATGAAGGACGAGGATGGCAACCCTGCATCTCTGTACTTCCCATTACTCACAAACGGATCAAACTGAAAATATTTATCAGAAGTCGAATCTTCATGTCTTTCTAATCTCCCCTGATTCCTCTCTTCGACTTTTAAAAACTTGTTAAGCAGAAAACAAAGAGGCCACATCAATTACCAAGTTCGCTGTTTCACGGTCATAAACACACTAGAAGAAGCAGTAACAGCTTTCTCTAATGTAGTGGATCCCCAAAATTTGGCTTGGACAATACACCTGAGTATACAATACAATGTAAGAATCATCAAATACGAGCAAACATAAACTCACACATCAAATTCTTTAACCAGTCAAATCGAAATTCGAAACTGAAGCTACATCAAACCAAAACCCTCTGAAACCTTAAACTACCAGAGATAGATTCCAAAAACTAGTTTCGTTTATCAAATTACGTTTAACTCCACTGGCACCAGAAATTCTCACAGTTGCTAATCAATAACGCGGAGATTTTTCATACGAGAAGCGAATCTAAAGAATCGACACATTCCGATCAAACCCAACAAATCTAAATCGTGAATTCTGCGATCTGGGTTCCGCGAAAAATCCAAACTTTACCCTCGTGATTATACCAACCGATTG